GAACACAACACATCGCAGAAGTGTAGTCGATCAGGACGTAAGCTGAAAAAACGAAGAAGTGTACCAGAACGTCAATCAAAAGACCGGTAAGACCATTGCCAATGAATGACATTATTATTATTATTATTGATTGTATTTTCTTTTCTCCATTGTTGAACAAACAAAAAAAAATCAGTTTTCTAGTTTGCCCCAACTGTAAACCGGTCGAAGATGGCGTTTTTCACGATCCAATTCAATGGACAGGCAGAGTTCATCGTACTTTCAAAAAGAAACATGAAGAATGGAAATACCGTTCCATATGTACATTCGATCGACCGGTTCCAGAAGCAAATCCAAATCCACAACCAAGACAAAAGAAAAAGAGATACAAGAAGCAGCTGGAACCGAAAACAACAGTTATATTCAATCGCGACATAAATGCAGCGAGAAATATGATTAAGAAGGGATTGTATATGTTGAATCATCTGCCGATGCCAAATTGTTTCCGACCATTCAGGCATCAACTCCATTATTATTTCAACAATTAAAATCAAAAATTAAAATTATAAGCACGGACGTCTACGCGAACATTCTCACAATGGGAATCTCATTGTTTCAAACAATGATACCAAGACGTAGTAGTGGACGATGCTAACAAGTACTAGAAATAGTAAGTATATTAATTTTTCTCTTTTTTCTCAGTGATCTCAACACTACTACTGCTACAATGAAATCCCAAATTAAAGCAATGTTGTTGTTGTGGTCATTGATTTTATACAATACTTAACTATAAAGTATATACTTTCATCTATAGTTTCATTTTCCATTCCGATCCATTACGCATTGATTAATTTCCATTTTTTCCATTCTTTTCTTCTGATCAACTCTTAGGTAACCCAAGGAAGCAAAAATAATTATTTTTCAGTTATTTCCATTATTGAAGGGAGTGATTTACCCTAGGTAATATATGTTAGTTCCAAGGAGTATCCTTGTTATGTGGCTGTGAATAGTGGGGATGGAACAAAACAATATTTCTATCATTCTGCTACCAATGTGGCACAGTACGAGTTTACGGAACGTGCAAAAAACATGGACGTTAAAGTTAGAATTTATTGTAAAATTCTGAATGAAGCTAATAACAATTTATTGGGCATTGAATATGCCGAAACCAAGGCAAAATTTTGGTTTATAGATCACGCTTTTTATGGAAAACTCAGTGATGATGCAACTAGTTAAAAAATAATAATTTATTTATTGAAATTGAAGTAAATTAAATTATCGCAATTTATTAGTTGTAATAATACATTTTTGCTAATATTAAATTGAGTAAATTGATTGAAAGATCGACTAAATAAAAAGAAGTTTATCTATTCAAAGAAAATGTCTAACTACACAACATACTAACCTCATTAATAGTCATAAAAGAATTTGCCAAGAATCAAAACATATTTATACATATTTTGTTTAATGTTTTTCTCTTAAACCAATTTATTTTGTTTCGAATTCTATTGAAATATTCAGATAAATCGTTCCAAATTTAGGTCTTAACAAATTTCTTCAACTTTCTAGAGTTTAAATGACAAATATAATACTTGTATGGATTCTTAGGCGCTGGGCATACATTTCAATCGCTCGAATGCCGCTTTTTCCAAACTCTCACGATGGTCTGGATGCGCAATATTGATGAGAGCATGTGCTCTTTGCCGTAACGTTTTGCCGAACAAATATGCGATACCAAATTCGGTAACAACATAATGAACATGAGCCCGAGATGTCACAATACCGCCACCCAATTTAACCGTTGGAACAATTTTTGATTCGTTACGTTTTGTAACTGAAGGCAATGCTATGAGGTGAAAAAAAAAAAAAAAAGAAAATATGATATGTTATTGGTTAATTATTATCAATATTAATAAAATGTTTTCCTAACCAATAATTGGTTTTCCCTTTCCATCGAAACCCTCGGCAGCACCACGAATGAAATCAACCTGACCACCGAATCCTGAATACATCCGTGTTCCGATTGAGTCAGAGCATACTTGACCAGTGAGATCAACTTCAATAGCCGAATTGATGGCAGTCATTTTTGGATTTTGTGCAATTACTCCAACATTGTTTACGTAGGCAATATCCAACATTTCTGGAAATGGCGGTGAATAAGGATAAATGCTTTCAAATACTTTGATATAAACCTACCAATAAATGGATTGTTATCAACAAAATCATATAATTTCTTCGTTCCGATTAAAAATGAGCCAACGATACGGCCTTTATGAATGACTTTCTTTGCATTTGTAACGCATCCATTTTTCACCAAGTCAACAACGCCATCGGCAAACATCTCTGAATGTATACCAAGGTCTTGATGATTATGCAAAGCAGTTAAAACCGCATCGGGAATATTTCCAATTCCTGAGAAAAAGAGAAGTTAATGAATAACATTTGAAAACGATCAAGTATTTAAAAAAAAAAATCATGAATCATTGTTTGTCGCAAATCGATTCGAAAGATAACGAAAGCGGTCACCCAACCAAAATGTGTAATGCGACCACATCCCTGCCGTTTAAGTTTTTCATATCCGGCTGAATGAATCGTTTTCTGCTATCCATTTTAAACCAAAATCATACCCATTTGTAAAGTTGCACCATCATCGACCAGATTCTCTGCAATCAACTTAATAAAATAAAAAGAAGTTTATTTATTTAAAGAAAATGTATAACTACACAACATACTAACCTGGCCGATTTTGGTTTCCTGTTCAGTTTGCCCTTTTCCACCATGCGATGGTAGCGGCACATCAATATGAGCGGCAAAATCGAAATGTGACTGATGAATAATTGAATCTCCGAATGTACGTGGCATTTGTTTGTTGATTTGAGCTATAAAAAAATTGTGAGTTGTTTTATTTGTTCATTCTCCTCATTAAAGTTGTCAATCACAAAACTAAAATAGCCATCGATGATAATCAACATACCGACAATCAATTTGGAATGTTGTAGAGCAGCTCGGACACAGTCAACGCTCGTTCCCAACGAACAGTAGCCATGTTGATCAGGTGGACTCACGGAAATCAACGCAACGTCTGGTCGATAAATTTTTTGATGGAAGAGTTTTGGAATTTCATGCAGAAAGATTGGCACAGCGTCGGCACGTCCCTCTGAAACCGCTTTACGAACATTTCCACCCATGAAAAATGATACCGAACGGAACGTTTTCTCCAGCGATGGGTCGGTGTATTCGGCCAAACCTTCGGTGTGCATCGAACAAATCTGTACATCACTCAAGTTAGCGGCTTTGCCATGTTCAGCCAGCGCATAAACCAATTTTGTCGGAGTTGCGGCAGCTCCTTGAACAAATACCGTATCACCTAAAAATAAATGTTTGTTTACAATTATTTGATTCACAAATTCATAAGCACTGATTCAATCAAAATCTAAAAAAAGTGATCTATATACGTTGTTTTACATTTGCCGCGATCATGATTCTCACTCAAATTGCATCGAACGTGAGATACTTTGAGCGTAAACATAAATATTGTATTTTGCTTATAATCAGCGATAAATTGAGCATGACGTTCGATAAGTCAACTTTTTGTCTCAGTTTCAGCATTTTGATAAGTTTTTGTCGTCGTAATTGCATCAGTCGAACCCCGTGAATCTGATGTGATTAATGAATTTTTATATTCAAGGTCCTTCCGCGTCATAATGTTTTTTTATAAAGAAAATGTATTTCGAACTTAGACTATATTTAAAAAACGGTCACCCAAAGAAATGTGCGCAAACATTTTCACAAATTATTTTCAATAAAATTCTCAATTATAATCATAAGAAGAATATTTTAACAATTTTGTTAGTTACTAGGCGTGAATAGTTTAAATCCAAGGATTTCTATTGTACCCTTGACCGCAGTACGGGTCCTCATTTAGGGCTGTGCGGAATATAAAAGAACCCGTAGGTGAGTACTTTATTGAATTGATAGTTTAGTTTTGCATTCAATCTAACTGAATTGTTTTTTTATTTTTTTTCCGTTCCATTTTGACGGTAAAATTGACTGAAACTACACACAAATCCAACCCCAATATTGACCGTCAACATATGCCCGATAATGGATGAATTTGTGCCAACAATTGTTCCTTGGGTGGACGTAATAAAAAAAGCGCTCGATGTTTTCAGTTTATTTCGGTTAGGAATTGATATTATTCAATTAACTTTAATACAGTGAAGCTATCCGGCTATAATACATAGATTTGCATATCTCTACTCGCTTTGCCACTGGCTGTGTGTGTGTGCATATAGTAAACAGTGAGCCACAAGTGAATCCATACATAATAACAAGTTTTGAACAATGCAAAGATGTGATAAAAAATGTTTGACACATTCAAACGTGGTAAATGAACACAATTTCAGAAACATAGAAGAATGACAGAGAAAGGAAAAACTACCGTCCGCGTAACTTAAAAAAACTGGAATGATCTGTTCTGATGAAGTCATTGTTTGATTTCGCATTGCATATTATTTTAACACTGCTAAATAAATCGTAACATGTTTTATATAATATTTTTTTTATCTAATCAACTGTTTCTATGATGATTTTAAAAATGTCACAACTTTGAAAATTGGTTGATCATAGAAAGCGAAAAAAGCGCCAAGAAAAGTTCGCTTCATTAGCATAAGAAAGAGCAACAACATTCAATGGACATACTTTACTAATTGTGACGACTCGGTAAATATGCGGAAAACAAAACGTCAGAGCCGTCAGAGTAGTATTCGTGATTGTCTCCCTGGCATTGCACAAGGCGAATCGTAACACTTGTTCTGACTGTGATTCACAATTTATTGACGATAATTAAGCACGAAATGTATAAAAAATTATACGACAACGGCTCAAACTACAAAATATATGATGAAACAAGTGCAAATATTTGCTTTCAACGAATATAACTTCTTGAATTTCTTTAAATAAATCAACGATCGGGTTGCATCGTTTAAACATACGTTCTGGTACTCTATTTTGCAAATTCACGGAACAAAGTTTATGAATAAAAACTTGGACCAATGTTCAATTTGAATAATAAACATCGACATTCGAAAAACGAATCAAAATAATATTTTGTTTACGTTTGTATTGTGGTCATTATGACATTGGTGAACTTTGATGTTGTTTGTATTCAAATGAATTTTAAAATCAATTAACTTCAACGAGTTGACATTCGTTGGAAAACAATCGAAGTTAACGTTCGATTTTCAATTACTATTTCATATTCAAGCTATTCCTACTCATTTATAGAACTGGGTTTTGATCCATTGCTTATTTTTCTTTAAATGCGTTTTCAATACTGAAAAACTACTACAAAAACCCTAGCAATCATATGTAAAAGTAATATCTTTTAACTAATATCTATACCAAGTTGTCACTATTACTGTTTTGCTTATCTCTTCTTTTGTGAATCCATATTCATTTTTATCACGCGCACATTTCTCAAGTGTTACACGGTATCAAAAAAAGCAAACAGTTTAAGTGCAATGTCAATATTTCATTGTGAAAGGCGAAAAAAAATATTGAATTTTTTATAATTCTGTATGAAGAAAATTGGAGTGACTTCCGCAATGTGTGTCAATCGTGGTTTTATTCAATGTAGCTGCTTGGCACATATACCTCACTAAAAAAAACAAGCGATATATCTATCTTACATACACTTTACTCTTCCTCACACTCCTTGTTATTACGGGAAAAATCAATATTGAAACCCGGTTAATATATAATCGCCATGAAAAACAATCAGCACCATTCAAACAGTAGAAATTAAACGTATGTCGATCATAACGAACTCACGGCATTGAAACAATCCAACGAACACAACTTCATTTATTATGAATTTAAAAATAGATTCAAATAATTTGGCTCATTTTTCTTTCCGACTAGTCAAACTATCGTTTATTTTCGATGGTATTTTTGGTAGTATCATACGATCATTTATAAATGTACGTGGCAAAAATAAATACGGATAGTTTATATTTCAAGAGTTATACCTGATTTGACACATTTGACGGCGTCTTCAATTGAACAGAATGTCGGATCTCGATTAATTGGCTGACTAGGCTCTGGTGAATATGTGTAAAATGTTCTATTGGCCATCAAAGAACTTTGACCGCTGATAATGTTTGCCAAACGACCATATTTCTCAAAATTAATGAAATTCACATATCGACGAATTGCGTACATTTCATTTAATTTTTCAACACTCACACACAAACCAAATGAATTGAAAAAAAAAACAACTGTCGTATGAGTCGTGAAAGGTTATAATTAAAAAAAAAATATCTGGAAACGAAACAAATTAACTTATGTAAATTTACACTCGAAGTAAGATTAAGTAATTGAAAGTTTTTTTACAATGATTTTTTTTTTTTGAGAATATCGTTGTTGTTATAAATATGGACAGTTGTTGTTGGGTCAATTTTCGACACAGAAGCAATTGCCGAAAATCACTACACACTTACACCAAGACACATTCAATTTCTTCTTTGTGTCTTCCTTTGTGTTTACAAAGCCGGAATCACAGACGATTAAATTTCACACTTTTCACTCGAAATAAAAAAGAAACTCCTCGTTTTTCGGGAATATTTAAAAATTCAAATAAAACTGTTGGTCGATATGATTTGAAATGATTGTGATTTTGGTTACGTTGTTTCCGCCGGCTGAACGAATACTAAATCATACCGACTATGCCGTAAAAACGGAGACATGCATTCATCGTGTACTTTCTCTCATATATATATAATATTGACATAGTAGTAACCATATATATATTCTATAGAATGGTGTTCTAGCGCACAACGTTGCGTCTCACACCTCACAAATACAAATACAGTTTGCGTCGCGTCGTTTGCGTTTTTCTTTTTTTTTATTGATACATGCAACATATAATTGAAGATTAATTTGCAATGACGTTGTGACGGTCTGAGTTAGACCATTAATTCATCTTTAAAGTGTTTGTTTACATGTAGATTGTAGACAGTGTAAATGAAATCTTCACTTAATCGATTTATTTCTCAGTGAGATACATTAAAATAAAAGATAATCAATTTATGTGATGATTTTACATCAAAAGATATGAAATTTTATATAATTTTTGAAAAATGTCCCAAACGTTAAAAAAACTGAATGAAAACTCAAACATAATGATTATTTTTGACATTTGTCAAACTCACCAATTCGATCATAACCTCCAAAATAGCCCAACACAGAATCACAAATGTGTCACAGATTTATCAGAACGTACCATTTAACGTTAACATAAAATGTTTCGCATTCTTTCCAAACATGTAAGGTATCATCCGGTTTCGATATTAAAAAATGCATATACCACCGAAGCTTATCATTTTCCAAAAGGTAACATTTTTGCAAAGAATATCGACGAATGAATCCTTTTTGGAATCTCGTTTATTTGGAACGATTTTCAAGGGCTTAAGTAATGAACATTGTGATTGATACATTGATATTTCAGAAATAAATTCCCTGAAAGTGATGGGCACCATTCAAGGTGACGTGGAGCGACGGACGAACGGTGCTATGGAACTCTTTTTAAAAACATTAATTAGTTCAGAAAGATAGTGAGCAAACGCTTAAATTCTCTCTGCTCGAATTCGAATAAATTCAATATATTTTCAGTTGTATTCACCGTGTGATTATAGCAAATCCCACACTTTCAAACATGTGGAGAGATCAATTGGAAGACAATCAACGCATTTATGTCAATGGAAAACTTCAGACGGAGAATGTATACATTGAAGATAAACGATATCAGAATGTTTCGATACTGGCTACTTCATTGAACCGGTTGGACAAGCATGATCTGGTGAGCGATATTATACCTGAAGATCAAATGCATCGATTCGATCAAAACAGCATTGAAATGTTGGCATTCATCGGTGCTGAGGTGCAAAACTTTGTGACATGCAGTGGTAATTTAAATTTTTAATCATAAGAAATGATCAAATAAACATTTATAAATGAATTAAAATTTTGAAGGATTCAGCATAAGGACCCATTTTAGTTCACAGTAAGAAGTGTTTGTATTTTCTGAATCTTTCTGACATATTTAGTAATTGCCATTCCATTCGTTGAACATTTACAGAAAAGGAAAACCAAACGAATTAACATTGAGTGATTATCACAAGGTAATAGTTCCGAACGACTCGCATATGCTTCAAACATCACGAAACTTACGTAAGGGTGATAGAGTTTATCTGAAGGGACACATTGATTACTCAACGACGCCTCATCCTGATGGCAAAGATTATGTGTCAGGCCATATAATTCCAAAGCAACTAGTAAAATTAACAAAATTCAATACATAAAATAAAAAGAAATTTAATAATTGGAATTCGATGTAGAAATAAAAAAAAATCGCGTTGTTTGCAAAAAAATATCACCCTTTCTTTGATTTTTATATATCTTCATTTTTTGAATACAAAATCTCGTTTTTGCTGAACATTTGAATTTGTCGTCCAAAGACAACATGATTTCAATACTTTATGACATCTGTCAAATAATAACATTTTGCTAACCTTCAAATCGAACTGTTTCAACAAAAGTTTTGATCTGCGTTTATTTGTAATCGAAATTCGTAAACATTTTGATTGGCACAATGTTTCGGGCCATTTGCAAGAGAATACTCGCAAAAAATAATGCAATAACTTCACTGCGAAATGGATATGGCACAGAACACATGCCTACTAGCATGCCCACAATTAAAAGCGGTAAATACTTTTTCGTGTTCCTATTAATTACATGAATGTAATTGTTTTAACTTTCAGAAATGAACATTGTTAGAATGAGTGGATCGATTGAGGATACGATTGTTCGACTGCCAAACGGTGCTATAAATCTCTACCTAAAAACATTAAACGAAAACGCTAGCTAGTAAGAAAGGCTTACCTCTTTAAAATTCAATGCGATTTAACTGAATTTATTATTTTCAGTTCTATTCACAAGGTGGTGATAGCGAACCCTAATTTATTGAAAATTGTCAAAAATATATTGAAAGCAGATCAGCGGATTCATATTGGAGGCCGATTAAGATCAATCACTGAACGTATTGATTCAAGATCTAAAAGGTCTTGTGAGATTATGGCAAACGAAATATTCATGTTGGAACCAATGCCAAAGCTCACCGAACAAACGATAAATAATCTCACAGGAATAAATCGAATTGATCAAAACAGCGTTGAAATGATGGCTTTCATTGGTTCTGAACCAAACATCTGGGAGAATTCATGTAGATTTGATTTGAGAACACATTTCATACAAAGGTAATACTGAATTTTTTTAAAGCGTTTCATTTCATTTTTATCGTACACTTACAGAAAGGGAACACCAGATGAGGTGGTATCAAACGAATACCACTCAGTATATATGGACAATAAAGATCCAAACTTACTTAAATTGGGAAAGCAACTAGGTAAAAGTGACCGTGTTTATCTAAACGGATACATTGATTATATAGATAGGAAATTTCCTGATGAAAACGACCATACCATTGGTTTTATACGGCCCACAAATTTAGTTCGATTCAAAAAAATAAAAAATGTATATCAAGCAGAACATGTGGTACAATGAAGTTTTGTATTTATTGTTATTTGATTTGAATAAAAATAAATCGGTTGAAATGATCTTATTTCTTTTTGTTTGGTTTGTTACTGGACAATTTCGGCTTTTTCGATGGTGGTAAGTCTTCGGCTTCTTCTTCGTAATCTTCTTCTTCCAACTAAAAAAAAAATGATACAAAAATGTATTAGAGGAGTGTTTGACAATAAACAGACTTAAAATTAAACTTACCGTTTCTTCATCACTGTCAAATTCTTCGCCGCCCAATTGAAGTTGGTCTTCATAGCCATTTGGTACTTGTTGTCCGTGAATATAAACGGGGCCATTACCTTCAATCTGTTTTAAATAAAATACAATTGAAATGATTCCGAAAAGAAGAATAACAGAGAAAATGGTTTAATAATTCTTGTGTACGAACCAATGTGAATGTGACGGGTCCATAAGGAAATTCTAATTCAGGTTGAACAACACGTTGTTCACCTACTTTCAAAACAGCGATTGGAATTTTTACAGTTTCATTTGCTGAAAGTGTTTCCACCTGTTCAAATAAAACGTAATTGAAATGCGTCATTAAAATGTTCTCGTGAAACATTAATTTTTTTTTCTCGCTTGGTACTAACCTCAACAACATTATATTCACCCTCTTTGGCGGTATGACTGAGCAAAATTTGGCGCAAATGTAAACGATCAGCGTTCAATTGATCTTCCTGTTCGGTTTTTGAGTCCCATGTCACTGTGGCATTGTTCTTATCCAATGTAGCACCTATTTATTCAAATAATGTTCGTTTAAATTATAAATGTCACAATATAGATATGATAAACTTTATCTTCTTTGTATAAGAACCATAAAAAATGTTTGGTTTTTTTTAAAACGTACCATAAAAATATTCCTCGGTTTTAACAACTCCTTTCATTTTGTAATGAATTTTATATCATATATTTTGAAAGAAATGAACCTTCTATGTGGGCAGATGCAAAATGAAAAAGAAAATTTAGAATACGACTGCTTCAATTACAAAGAATACCATGTGTACAAAGCAACGCACCGGTTAATAAAGAAATATGCATGGGTTTGACGTTTTTCTTATTTGATTAACTTAAACGTACTAGATGCGATACGATGTAAGAAACTTGTGCCAACTGAACAAACCATTTCCATTCTCTCATAATTAATTTTGACCGATTTTGGCGAATCTTACTTATTTATTGATGCAATTCGAATAAAAGGTTGTTTTTAATTGGTTGAAGTTCGAATAAAAGGTTGTTTTTAATTGGTTGAAGTTTGTCGGCTGATTTTGATGCATTATTATTAAGATGGAATAGCAGGGGTATTTATTTTAAACATGTGCTTTTCGAAAACGTAAAACGGTTATTTTTAAACAAACAACAAACGTTTCTTTCCAATGTAACAAATTCGAAATCTATTCCAAAATGCGAAATTGTATTTTTCTCAAACTTAATGCAAATTTATTTATTTTATAGATTTACAATGTAACTGGGTCAAATGCCACAAAGTGTATATGTTTGTATTGTGTTTAATGTTGATTGGAAATTATTTATACAATAGTATCATGCTTTCTGGCATATCTGTCATTATTGTAATGAACTTCATTACAACAACATGACTGGACTTTTGATAATATTTCGGTGTTTAGTTTATTTTTTGCCATTCTTAGCATTCTTTGCATTTTTCGCTTTTGCATTAGCCATTTTGACATCTTCTTCATCCTCCTGGAAACAAAAAAAGAGCATATTAGATACAGAGACGTACGCAAACCACAATATGTGAGTAAAAATCGTTTCATACCTCTTCTTCGTCGCTCAATTCAGTGGTGTCTTCAATTTCATAGTTTCCTGGCACTTGTTGACCATGAATGTAAACGGGTCCACTACCTTCAACCAGCGTAAATGTGACTGGCGAGTCTGGAAACTCCAAAACTGTTTGAATGGAACGGGTTTCGCCAGCTTTCAATACGGCGACGGGCACTTTTACTTGATTTGGTTTCGATTCAGTCATCGAGGACGTTTCCACCTGCAGCATATTCATTTTTGAAAAAAAAGAATCAGCATTGTTATTTATTGATTTTGATTGGCAAAAGGCATCTTTGGATGGTTTTGTTTCTTAAATACAATACTCACCTCAATAACATTATATTCATCCTCTTTGGCCGTATGACCGAGCAAAAATTGACGAATGATCAATTTGTAGAATGGATTTGGAAATTCTTTTGTATCGCCAACGACGTCCCATTTGACCGTTTTGTTGGTTGAATCCAGTGTGGTTGCTATCAGTAGAAATTAAGACGATAAATCCCATGAGCATATTCAATTTATCAATTTAATTCAATGTGCTAAGTTTATAAAATGAAACATGGAAAATTTTCCCTCGCACACAAAAAATGTGTTTACACAAGTGTAACACTTTGACATTTCATACACAAACATTTGTTGCCAAACAAAAAAGTATTTTTTTTTTGTCGCGGATCGATATTTTTCGATGGATTTTCCACAGAATTTTCACAGATCAAATACAAAATACCAACATGCACAAATAGAAAATTCATTACAATTAAATATTTACCGTAAAAATTGTCGTCCATTGTTATGATTAGTGGAATAAAATTGGATTTTTATCGGAACAAGATACGAGTAATAGGCCGGTCAATGAAGAAAAGAGCTATAGCAGAGATGTACTCGTTGTATATTGACGTTTGACATTTTCGCTACTGAAATGAACAACCATCAAACCAATCTAGTACATCAAGCCCATGGTCTGTTCAATAAAGTGAACGAAATATACAACAAATCAATTTTGCATTTTGAAAAATGACAATTACACTTTTTTCACCCTTTCGGAATAGATTTCGAATTAAAAAATACTATTTTTACTATTTTAATTGTGAAATTTTGGCAACTCAAAATAGAAATATTACATTTTTTCATATGATCAAGAAGCTGTAAATCTTGAAGAATAGTTTTTTCTTTTAATTTTCATTCGGATTTGAAAAAGACATCTACAATTCAATTTCCTCCTATCTGGATCAATTTCAATATTTTGAATTTTTGGCGCTTAAAAAGTTCATTATCAATATGCAATGAATTTTAGACTCTTGTTTATCGAATAGTGAAAAAGTTCCCAAAATCTTATTATTAATAGAGAGTCGAATTATTAAAATTATGCTCTTAAATTGTCTTTATTTTGAAATTTTACTGAAAAATACATTTTTCAAGTAGGCTGTCAATCTATCTACTACAGCGTGCATCATCTGTCAACGTGAATAATGCTTAACAAACAAATCATTATCACAGATTATGAACTGAAGATTTGATGACGAAAAATCGCACATTTTCACAAGGTTTTTTCCAATTGACATTAAAATGGAATGAAACGAGAATTTTTTTAAAAAAATCATTTTTTTATTGAGGTCTTTTATTCAAAGCTATTTAAAAAAAAACATTCATAGTTTCATTTGTGGCTTATTTTTTGTCTCTTTGGTGGGTTTTCTTCAACATAATCCTCCTCCTCGAGCAACTGAAATAGAAGCGAAAACCATTCAAAAACCTTCAATTTAAATTTATAACCTTTCCGTTTTTTACCTCTTCTTCATCACCCAACTCATCTTCCCCGGTCATGGCTAAAGCATCTTCAGCACAGCTTGTGTCTGGCGGTGCTTGCATTCCTTTAGGAAAAAGAAGTTTATATTTTGATATTATACAGCATTGTATTATATGCTTTAAATGCTCTACCGTGAATGATAATAGGTCCGTTTCCATTGATCAATTTGAATGTGATGGGACCTTCGGGAAACTCCAAATTTGATTGTACAACACGTTGTTCACCGATTTTCAGTACGGCAATTGGGATTTTGACGGAACCATTAGATGTTGGAGCGTTAACCTAAGAATACTTGTGTATGAAGTTTTCTTCATTTAAAATGCAAATTTGTATTGAATAACTTACTTCTACTACATTGTATTCATCTTTTTTGGCAGTGTGACCAAGCATAACTTGTCTTATCGCCAAACGTTGAGCTGGTTCTAATGGTTGCCAAATGTACTCAGCTTCGGCCTTATCGAGCGTGATGGCTGAAAAATCCACAATTTTATTCAATAGTCTGTAAAATCGTTATCACTTCAAACTCACCAACAAAATATTCTTCGGCTTTAATTGCGCTGGTCATTTTCTTGATTTGAACGAAATGTTTATTCGAATGTGAAAAGTACGCGTGCAATACACAGAAAGGGAAAGAAAGAAAAAGACATACAATTTGACATATACATGTTTCTGTCACTTGTGTGAATGAATGATTGAATGAATATCAGTTCTTTTTTTATGTCTACTGAATAGTGTGTGAGCAAAACGGATCTAGTACAACACCTACATATAATTGAGCAAAAACAAATGTGCTTTCAATTCTTCGAATGGAAGGAATAAATCTTTCAACCAACGGTGATAATGAATTTTTTATTCATCTGATCTTCTGACACCTTATGTGAAATTGTTTGAATTATAAATGATGCAACCGTTTTTCCGTGGGTATATAAACCGAATCACTTCGAATTGGTGATCAAAATAGTTCGACAGCTTGAATTGATAAAAAGTGGATAAACAAGAAGTGCACACAGAATGGCAAAAGCCATTAGAATTTTAATTTTAATTTTTGTCTGGGTAAAATATTCTCAAGCAAACGACTTTCCATCGCTACTTGTAGCCAATGCAACCGTTGGTAAATGGATCACTAACATTTTTTAATATGTTTTATAAAAAAAAACGATGATATTTCAATTGTAATCATCGACAGGTGTAATCATCGACCATGAATATCTCGGCGAAGAGTACGAAAAAACCTTTGAAAAAATGAAGGAAATAATCGAACGAGTCATTCGAGAAGATTTAAAAGGAGCCGGATTAAACATAAAATACTATTCATGGAGCAAAATTAATTTCAATAAAGGTTAGTCTTACAAAAATAATAGTAATTTTGAAATAGAAAAAAAGTATTTTCCTCTGCCAAAAAGGTGTATTTTTTTAATTAATTTTGATGTATAGATTTCACAGCAATATTTTCAATAGCCAGTTGTACTTCCACTTGGGAAATATTTGAGCATGTTCAAAGGGAACGTCTACTTCTCATGGCTATCACAGATCCCGACTGTCCACGTCTTCCTTTGCACGAAGCATTAACTGTAATATTTTTAAAATTTTATTCTTCTAATTCGCTTTCTTATTTTTCATTTTATTTGAATTTTTCTTATTTTTTGCAATAGATTCCTCGCATTAAAATTGGAGTTGAATTGCCTCAAATTATTTTGGATATTCGGACATCACATTTAGTGAACTGGAAAACAGCGACGATTCTCTACGATGATATTTTTGGTTTGGATTTCTTTAAATCTCTGATGAAAAACGTTCGCTTAGAAATGAGTCGCTAGTTATTACTTTTTGTTCCTTTTTTGCTTTTTATAGATCGTGATACAATCAGTCGCGTAGCAAATGCACTCAGTGTTGAAAGTGCATCGTTGGCAATGTCAATATCACTGTTAAAACTGAATAGCAGCACAGATGTGTATGAACGTCGTGAAAATATCAAGAAGAGTTTGTTGAGTTTTCCCATTAGAAATGTTGGTAGGTCATTGATTTTTTTGTTGTAAAAAAAATTACGGAAAAATATTTGTTTTCCATTACTAGGTTCAAATTTTCTGGTGATTGCAACGATTCCTATGACGATAATTGAAGGTAAGTCGATTAAAAATTGAAAAAGAGATTTTCAAAGTGATTCAATTTAGTTTATATTAGTGATTGAATGTAATTTTTTGTGAAGTGGCGACGGAAATGAATATGATTAATACTGGAAGTCAGTGGATGTTTTTGATATCAAATCCACGTAAAACAAATGTAAGCCAATTGATGACATACGTGAAAGAAGGCGGAAATGTGGCAATTGCATCGAATAATACAATTATTAATGGCAGTTGTTCGATGGGCGAAGATTGCTTGTACCATGAATTATTTAAAAATTTTGCAATGTCTCTGTCGAAATTGGTGCGTGAAGAAGAAGCAATTTATAGTCAAATTTCAGACGAAGAATGGGAATCGATTAGATTATCAAAACGAGAACGTCGTGATAGCATGCTGGAATTTATAAAGGTATGCAATATGTAATAATATAACTTTTAATATATTTTCATCGATATATTTGATAAAAGGAACGTTTACGGGAGGAACAATTATGTAAACCATGTGTAAATTGGAAATTCGAATCGATCGAAACGTGGGGCTTACGATTTGATATGTCTGAAAGTTCGTAAAAAATTAGCAGATGTGAATGTCAAAATTATACTAACTATGTTCGTTTTAGGTGGAAAATTGAAGCCATTTAAACCGGTGTCGACGTATACAGCTGTTTGGGAACCAACAAACGGTTTTATTCATTATGATAAAATATATCCACATATTGGTAGGTCATTTATCATGGAATTTGATTTCATTTCATTTCGATTTTTGATGAACCAAAATTATTATTATTTTAGCTCATGGTTTTCGCAATAGAAGCGTTCCTATTGCTATTTATCATGTAAGTGATAAATATTTAACAAAAAAGCAATCATTGAATGATTTTGTGATTTGGGTTAAAATATTGAAATCTTTTTATAGAATCCTCCATGGCAGATTGTTAGTTACAACGATGCTGGTCAAGTAACAGGTATGCGTGGCGTCACCGTTAATATTCTTAAAGAATTGGCCGATAAACTAAACTTTACGTAAGCTTATAATGTGATTGGCATAAATCAGTGCCATTTGGCTTTTCTTTGCAAATTGTTTCGATGAATATTTTTTTATTACAGTTACCTAGTGCATAATGTTGAAAGAAATGTTAATCGGAGTGGATATAGCTTTTGGGACGATTTCAACGTAACGGTAATTATTGATGAATTCTATTGAATTTTGTTCGATTTCACCTTTAGAAGTATTAATTTATTATCCAACTGATTTTTTTTTTCAATCATACACGAAAGGCTGATGATGACATAAAATCTACATTCAATTTACCGGTCGATATACTTGAATTAGTAACCGATAACATGGTAAAACGAATCCAAGAAAAAATCACATACCTACATTTGGTATCAACAGAAAATGTATCAGCTTGTGATTGTTCGGTCTTTTGACCGACTGAACTTTACTCGCGAGTTGATTGAAATTTTATTTATTTATGAATCATGTGAAATGGAAAAGAAGTGCTATTGCACTGATTTTATTGAAAAACTAGTGACTTTTAACATTGGTCGTGATTTTTCAGGTACTATTTGGAGCAGTTGGATTAACAGTACACGAAACGTATGAAAAGATGATAAACTATACGTATCCAATAAGTGTTCAAGCATACGGAATGATGATACCGCGACCAAAAGAGCTCAGTCGTCTATACCTATTTCTCTCTCCATTCACTTTGGAAGTAAAGAGATTCAGCTTTTTTCGATTTTTATTTTATATATTATTCATAGAAAGAGTTTCGTTTACCCAAAAATTATTATGTTTTCATTATAGACTTGGCTTTGTTTGTCATTCACAATAGCTTTAATTGGTCCGCTATTTTATGCTGTACACTATCTAAGTCCGTATCATGAACATCATCAAATTACGAAAAAGGGTGGATTATTTAAAGTCCAAAATTGCTTTTGGTACATGTATGGTGCCCTTCTTCAACAAGGTACAATATAATCTTATCGAAATTCGTCCTTTACTTTTCTGACTTTTGAATATCTTGTCATATATGAAGGTGGTATGTATTTACCGAGATCGGACAGTGGAAGAATCATTGTTGGTACATGGTGGATGGTGGTACTTGTTGTTGTTGCTATATACTGTGGCAATTTAGTCGCTTTTTTAACCTTTCCCAAGATGGAGATTTCAGTAAATTCAATTAGTCAATTGGTCAAGTCACAGGAGCAAGGTGGATTCACATGGAGCATTCGATCAAATACATTTCTGGAATCATTTCTTAAAGTGAGTGCACTTGGAAAATAACGAAATATTGGAAATATATGTATATATAAAAAGAATTTAATTTTCTGCCCAATATAGGAAACCGATATTGAGAAATATGTTAAATTGAATGAAAGCACGGAGAATCATGAAATAGTTTCCAAAAGCACAATATCTCGTGTACGTTCTGGCAAACATATAATAATTGATTGGGAAACTAATCTACTGCATATTATGCGCAAAGAATATCTTGAGACGGATAAATGCGAATTCACATTGAGTGGGTCCCACAGTAAAAGTATTTCAATCAATTATCATTTTAGTATTTCTATGTATATTTTCAGGCAATGAGAAGTTTCTAGATGAAAAGATCGGTTTGATACTGCCAGCCAATAGCCCTTATTTGAATATAATCAATGATGAAATCTACCGAATGCTACAAATGGGGTATTTTTTATACTCTGCCGTCAATGTGAACGGACGAGAAATTGTCTAGAATTTTTAACCTATTAAAACTATCATTTTATATTATAGCTTCATTAACCGATGGCTTAGTGAATATTTACCAAAAAAAGATCGTTGCACCAGCAAAATAAGTAGCATGGAAATCGAAAACCATACTGTGAATCTGGCTGATATGCAAGGTCTGCAAAGTCATCTCTGTTCCACCTATTTATACATATCTTCAAAATTACCTTTATTTTCCGTTTACTTTCAGGATGTTTCCTTGTATTAATTGCAGGTGATATATTCTCTAATGGGTGGATTTAATAGATATGTTCAAAATTATCTGTATTTTCCGTTTGCTTTCAGGTATAATTGCTGCAATATTTATCATAATGATAGAATGCTGTTGCCGCCGATACAGAGTGTTAGATGATAAAAAACTAATCAAACCGTTTGTTAAGTAACAACAACAAAAAAACTGTTAGTTTCTATTCTACGGAAGGGAATGGTATCTTATCAGACGATAGAACCAAAAAAACTGACGCATTAACACAGAAAGATTGTGTTCGCACATTTATGCAAGATTTCATGGTTTATTGTTTATCGTATTAATTTCGAAACCATTAACCAGCAAATCAAATTTGTGTTTTATGTTTATCACAGTCATTATATACAGAAAACATCGATTGATGAAGGGTACGATTATTTTCAAAAAAAAAAAACATTATAATCAAAACATTCATTTCAAAAATGTAAAAATTTCATTCGTTTAAGAAAGATTGACGAATGCGATGTTTTTTGTTAATATTTGTTCTCGGTTATCAGATTATTGCAATCGTGTGCGAATGGCATTTATAAGACTCGATTATTTTATATACTATAATGCGAATTTCTATGGGTTTATGTTATTATGTTATTTTTTTAATTTCGGACAATTTGCACGAGTTAGAAATGTTATAGAGAGCTTGTTACAATTATAATAGAAGTTTAAAAAGGAAATATTTAAAGCGTTCATTAACACATTACGCACATCTAATACTACTAGCATTATGCTAGCAATTCTCATAGCGTTAGCAGGGCCTAGCCGCTTTTTTATTAGACAATAATCTCAATTTTATGAACGAGATTTTAATGTGGTCTTTGACACTCTGTTTGCTTATCGTTTTATTTGTTTTCAAAAACAAAATTTCGGAAGAATTTGGCATTGACGCACGGTATTTTGTCCGACTCAAAAATACTTTTGACACACTTAAATCTCATCCAGCTTAAATTGCAGCTAGTATGGAACTTTATCTTTCTGGGAAGTTGACATCTAACTAGAATACGTGAAGATCTTTTTTTTGTGAAGCACCTTCTCACATTTTTTTCACAAAAGTTTTTCCAGAGATTTTTCATTCAAGAATAGTTGATCGGAAATCTGCTTCCGGGAAATAATCTTATAATACCCAATTAATTAACGAACCGTCAAATAGAATATTAAAAATTTGAAACCAAATTGAATTCTAAGATCTTCAGAAAATTTATAACTTTCAAAAAAGCATGCATCTTGCAATTCAAATTAATTCACTTAATCGAACATCCTACTCTGCAACAATGTTATCTCATTAAATGACTTTACTTTTATCGCATTCTCAACGAATATTATAATAGTTTTTTTATACAGATATTCTTCAAATTATTATTAAATAAAAGTAAAAATATATTTCATGTTTTAATAAGATTGTCAACAAATAATATTATAATTTCAAAAATAAATTATCTAACAAAAATTCCCGTCGAAAACTGAAAACAAAAATGAGCAAAAAATAAAAAAAATGAATGTGTATTTTTACATTTTTCAATTTTGATTGTTTTTTCTTTTAATTTTTAATATCAAATATAAATACAAATTAAATTTCCAAAAAAGTTTGTAAATATAACCAATCTTAATCCGATCAATGCTAATAAAATTTATAGTTAATTGGCTTTGTTCTTTCAAATGTGGATTCCAATTGAAACGTTAGAGACGTAAGAGAAAATACCAAAAAAGAAAAAAGTTACACAGATATGTGTTACTAAATATAATATAATAAATGGTGTAAAGAATAGATAATTAAATAAATGGTATAAGCTATTTCTCTATTAAACCCAAACAAGCATCAACTTTGCAAATATACACATATTCATTTGTTTAGCTAAACAACATATACATTTTTTCCCTTTTTTCACAATTTTCAAATACAATCTCGATTTATTTATCATAGTTTATTATTGTTGTTCATACGCTTTTTATTGTTTATTCTTTTAGTTTTGTTTAAATTTTGGAAAGAGATTTGGATAAAAGCTGTTCATTTACACAAAAAAAGACAGAACTATTTCGTTATTGTAGACAATTTGTAAACCGTAACCGAAATCTGTTCCAAATCAAAATGTAATTATTATTAATATTATTATTCTAATTATTGGATGTTCTTTACTTTTTTTCTTTCATTTGAATAGAATTTTTCATTTTATAATCGAGTTGAGGTTCTAATAAATAACATTAGTAAAATGTTTTAATATATATATTATTATATGCAGTCATCAAGTGACAATGGTCATATGTCGACCCGCACATTAAATCGTCACAAAAAAATAATGATTACTTTTTCGACGAAAAATAAAATAATTTCAAAAATAAAAATTATTCTCTCTTATCGATTTTTTTAATGTATAAAAAAGGTCAATAATTTCATCATCTTTCCTCGCGTTTGGATGAGATGCGAAAAGAGTAAAACGCAGATTTTAGCAAGTTTCATAAGTGGTGAGAAGTGCTGCATCGACCGGTTCGAGGCAAGATGGACATGTTAGACTACGCATTAGCCAATCATCAATACAGCCAACATGATAGGTATGCATACAAGGTAGATAACGGATTGAATCGCCCACATTGAATTCAATCATACAAATAACACATTCGCGAGCCTTTTTGCATCCATCGTACAAGCCAACGGGTAAATGTTGTATTAAACCGATACGTTTTGCTATTTTCACTTGTTCCTCCTCAGTTAGATGAGACACTGGCCGACTCACCGACGGTGATGGATAGAATACTGGTTGCAAGACCTCCTGCAACAAAATAAAATATAAAATGGATATAAAAATCTACTATTCACTCAAAACTATGAATACAAATCGGGTGAATCATTGTTCTAACTTTTTGATTCGTCATCAAAGATAGCGCCATGCGTCAAAATACGATACTTACCGAATATAATGGTGACGGTCCCAATTGTTCTGTAGATTCTCGATTTGGTTCATTGCCACCTCGCAAGAGAGAGATGTCGTCTGTCGTTGACCGTTTAAAACAATTGCCCATTTTTGTAGTTTTTTTTTGTGTCACTATTTTTTGTTTAACTAGTATTAGATGATCGATTATAATATTTATTTGCGTTTTATTTTAGTTTGCTTTAGCTTTGGTTTTGTCACCCTTCGTTACGCATCACATTTATCAAATGAATGAAAAGGGTTATTCTATCACAAAAATAAATTATCAGCTTCAAACAAAGCAAATTCAATCTTTTAGCGTTACTTCTTGATTTGACTCGTGCACAGTTCAAACATATAAAAGTGCAAACTTTATTTCTCTCAATCAATTTTATTGCACCAAATGTCCAGCAATTTAAATATGCAAATGAAAATAACAAAAAAAAAAAAAAAACAAACGGCAAAGAAAAAAAATAATACCGAAATCGAATCAACGAACGAACGAATGAAAGGGAAAAACACAACTAACGTGCGATGGTGTCGGCGATGAGAATGTATGGGCTGTAAGGTCAATTCATGATTGCATTCGTCGTTTTGAATGAAAATTGGCTCAATATTCTAACACAAAAAATCGAATATGTATTGACGCACGACATATGGTTTTATGAATCTAGTTTCGGCCCGATTTTAGTGCTATTATTCTCTGGTTTGTGTAAAACGATTAGAAGTTTTTATTCAGTTCCGTGTTTAGTTCTCCATTCGATTTTTATAATCATTACACTGGTCTGCCTGTCCTTGCATATATTTGCCTAGAGCACACACACAAAAAAATAGCAGCGACAATAAATGATTGATTTTTTTTTGCATAAATCTAATTATTCCAATGCTTCATCACTTTGATAGGGTTTCTGTTGTATTCCGGTTATTATTGCGATAACAAATGGAGAAAGTTGATTTACCGAAAAAAAATAATAAAAACTTCGATGGGTTTTTTCTCGTTACCACAATTTATCGGTTTATCTCTGTTTGGTTTGGGTTTGGAGTCGTTTTACGCAAAACGCAATAGTCTACTTGTTTCTTTGTCTGGTGAAATACACTGCGTCTCCTACAACATCAGCAGCAGCAATAGCAAAAAAAAAACATACAAAATACACAGTCATTTACTTGGAGCACATAACATTGCGTTGCGAAGAGCCGAACTGATGAATACCAAAATAACACTGTCTTCGCTGTATATTTTCTTTACACTGATTTTGTTGATTTCTTTTTTTCGTGTGCTGTGTGTATCAATGATAGAGACATACGAAAAATAATATATCAAACAAAAAATATCAAGCAAATGCACATTATTTTTTTTCGCAACAAAATTAATTTCACGAACAACACACGTATTTTCCACTTTTCAAATGTCGTATTTATTGAACGTAGTTTATAGGTTGGCACTTTGTGTGTCGACAGATTTTTTTCTATCTAGTTAATTGGATAAGATAAACTAATGCAATTTATCTCACAAAAATTTAAAAAAATTAATGCTTTGCAAACTCTTGTTTACGATGGCGAATAGTATACATTCGACTTATACCACAAATAACAGACGAGACGACATATTTACTTCGCTTGTGTTTTTTCACTTCTTCATTAATTTATTTTTGTTATTTTCGTTCAAATACTGATACTGTAGTGTGTGCGAATTGAGTTTGTATTTATCAGAAAAACACACATACACATGCAACTTATGATAGATACGCATTTCCCAGAGTGTATTGTAACGAAAATGAAAGAAAAAAAGCACCAAATGTCAGCTTATGTCAGCTGAGTTTGACTATAGTCAAATAGACGAGTACCAATTCACGACTGTAGTGGGCGACACCAATTTTATATTTGAATTTTCATTACAAATTCGTAATACAGCAAAAGTAATACAAACTAAATATATCTTTAACCCTCAAACGCACACGTGGGGTCTCTTAGACCCTAAGAGTTAGTTTTTTGAAAAAATCACAAAAATATAAAAAAAAATTGGAAAATTTCGCTGAACGTTTTCTTTTTTAATATCATATCTATGTGATAAAATCAAAAATTTCAATGTTTGGTGCATAGATGAAGTTTTGGGAAGTCTTATACAAAATACTAACGTAAAAGCACAACGGGGTCTTTTGGACCCCAAATTATTTTGTATGGGAAATGATGTATTCTGTATGGGCCAATATGAAACTCATGGAGATTTTTTGACACAACAATTTACCTTTCATCAAACAACAACACAGTAAATTGTTTTGTCCGTGACGTATACTGTTCATCGCAAATCAAATGGCATTTGCCATTATAATATATATTCATACATTGTTTTTTTTTT